CTTTCCCTTAAAATCTCGGCTCAGATTTGGAGTTTTCACCTGGTTGTCCTCTCTTTTAAAAGGTCCCGAATCCTGCTCCTCTGTCCCGACCGCCTCAGGAGCATGGGCGAGGGCCTGCGGGGGAGCGCGCCGACGGGGAGTCGAAGGCCAGAGGAGGCAGATGAGGCTGGGAAGGTGGCGAGCAGCTCCCTTTGCTGCTGATTTCTCAGGCAGCTTTGGAAGTTGTGAGGGAAATGGGTTGTTTTTTGCAGTTTGCAGGCTGGCGCTCAAGGACATGGAGGACAAGTGGTGGTAGTGGGTCTCTCTGCTTTTCCCTGCTCTGTAGCCTAAAATCTAGATGGTCTTTTTGTTCATACAAGTAAGATCTTGGGTGTCTTGTGCACCTGAATTTAACACATTACATAAGCCTTGGGCCAGGCAGTCCTGCTCGAGAAGGCACGAGTTGTTCACAGCTGAACTGAGAACAGAGCAGGAACTCCAGCTCATCTCATGCCTGATCTGTTGGACAAATTGGTTATTCTGGCCCCCAATAAGCTGCACTGTGGCGATGGAAGGCAACTTTTCCCTTTGCTGACTTAGGGGTGATGAGGCGCAAGAGCAGGCTTAACATGTAGGATTTTAGAACAAACTGAATGCGTTACATCCACGCGTTTTGTATGTGGCTGTGGGAAACCTCTTAGAGAAACAGATAGTGTGTGCTCAGGGTCTGCAGCTAATCAGCATAGATTTGTATGCTAGGTTTAACATTGCTGTATTGCTAATACGTAACCCCGGGGAAAACTGCATTGATTTGTGTGTTATGTGGGTTTTTTAAGCTTGAACAATTTGATTTTTGGTTTAAGATACCAAAGGATATGTGTTACTCAGCATGCCTCCAGAGTAATCTTACACACCATAAGAGTTTGTTGGGTTGTTGCAAAGCGGCACACTCTCAGCAGAGTGACAGTAAACTAGCCCTTCTTTGGGGCTGAGGAATTAACTTCTAATGCAAGATAAAATCTATTTGAGTTTAGTGTTTTTTATTCCTAACAATAAAAATTAGGAGTGGGTCTTGTGACTTGGCAAATTTCAGTGACTCTTACCCAACGTTTGGAAGTCAGCTTTTACAGTGTCGGCACAGCTGTGGACTTGTGCTGTCCTGACAGATACTGTCCTGAATACATATACATAGCACTAAAGTGTGTGTGGTGTCCATAGATGAAGAACTTCTAAAAGTTTGCTCCTCATTTTCCTGTGTTGGAGGAGTTTGTTTAAAAAGAATCCCCCCCCCCCCAAACAAACCTCTTTTTCCGGTGTTGGAGGAGTTTGTTTAAAAAAAACCCCCCCCCCCCCCAAAAAAAAAAAATCCTGTAAGCTTGTGTGAAAATGTTTTGTCCTGGTCTGATTTTGAGAGAAGCCTGTTTTATTTTTGCTTTTCCTTGTAATTTATCTGTCTCCGGGCATTAATAGTTGTGACTTGTGAAATACTTTGGAGAAAGAGCTCCCAAGTGCCAAGTGAACTTAATCATACAATCCCAAAGCCATGGCATAATATCTTAGTAAAAATGCTCACTCGCACTCACTCACAGGAGTTGGTTCCTTTTCTGACCGCTGCATAAAATAAGCTTTGGTGGGTAAAAGAGATTAACCACTGAACCCCTCAATTCCTAACTGATTACCATGACCTTTTCTCCTTGCAGTTCACTGCCAGCAGTGCAGAATCCAGTGCTGCAACGCTGACTATGTAGCTGCCACTTCTAGCAATGCCTTGCCAGAGGATGCGCTTTTGGATGCGGATTACTGCACTGCCTTGCGAGCATACTCTGTGTGTACCAGGAAGACGGCCAAGTCCTGTCGAGGAGACCTGGTGTACCACTCTGCTGTATTCAGGATAAAGGAACTGTTTTCCCAGTACAACTGCTCCAGTGATGGGCCTACCTCTTCAGCGAGAGCCCCAGGCACTCCAGACCCTCTTGTTTCTGAGATATGTGATTATGAGAAGAGTTCCAGCTTTCGGAAGAAGTTTGCCCACTGTGGATTATTTGGGGATCCTCACTTAAGGACTTTTAAGGATGAGTTCCAGACCTGTAAAGTAAAAGGAGCGTGGCCATTGATAGACAACCAGTACTTGTCTGTTCAGGTCACTAATGTTCCTGTGGTGACTGGATCCAGCGCCACAGCCACCAGCAAGGTAAAAGGGCAGCTAAAAAGCCTTCATGCTTAGTAGCGTCCTGCAGTGGGACTGCTGTGCCCTGGTCACCCGCTGCCCCTATGTAGGGATTAGACAGTCTTGTCAATGTAGGGAATGGGGTGTCCTGGGGCAAGTCCTGTATCTGGAAGATGATGTTAAAGGAGTGCAGAACTTGAAGGGTTGATTCTGACCCTCCTTGACAACACAGTGTTCTTGCTGCAATGATTTTGGAGGTTCTGTATCTAATGCAGAGTTTCATGTTCATCGCTTTGCCTTTGAAGCCCTAGCAGAGCTTGGAGTGCCTGTTTCCACAGCAGAGCTGTGGTAACCCTTAATAACAGTTTCAAAACTGGTGTATTTTCTTGTGTATTCAAAATGAAGGCCCATACCAGATTTGGCTGGCATCCTGCACACCAGAAGAGTCTCCCTCTCTGGAAACCAGCTGTGTGGAGTTCCTTGCTCCCAGCTGGGAGGTGAGTAGTTCAGCTGGGTCACAGACTTTCTCCAGTGGAAGAGCAGAATGGGTTTTTCTCTGGACTTTGGAAGCATAAGTTTTGTGGATCCCCATCCAGAGCATCTGTGGATCCTTTTTGGCTTCAGTAAGGCTGCCATAGCATGTCCAGACTGAGGAATGAGGCTCTTCACTTTCTCGCTGCCTCCTGCTTTGGCAGAAGATGAGGCAAACATTATTTGGCTTCAGTGTCATTGGCTGAATGCTTGGGTGGAAGGCTGCAAAGACTGAACTTTCTGCTCTGCAGCCCCTCACCCCCCAAAGGGGCTCTCTGGGATGCTGATTTCTGCTTCTCTGTGTGCCAGGTCTGTCTCCTCAGTAGGTTGCAGCAGGTGAGCTGGCACCAGAAAAGCCCTCTCTAACTCCTCATCTACAGAGGAGGCAGCATCTCCTCTGATGTGTAGTGGGAGGAGCAGTGCTTGGGCTGGATGGTTGGTCTAGATGTCAGCAGTAGCGAATCCCAGACTTACTTCTTGATTTGAGTGTTGGATGGTAGAGCTAGTAGGATGCTCGTCTTGTCCATCTGCCCCTTCCTGCAGCAGGATCTCATGGAAATGCACCATTGCAGCTTGTGGGGTGGGTGCAGTGACTACTTGTTGCCCTTCCTGAAGTTTGAAGGAAACTTCAAACTTCTGCTTTTTTAAGGATTGAGAAATAGAACCTGAGACAAACCCTCAAGCTACTCTGATCTGGTCTGGGCCATTCTCTTCCCTGCAGCCACTGCTGTGGACAGCTCACCTGGGCTTGGCTGGAACTTCTGGTTCTTCTCCAGGTAACATCCTTTTAGGTTGTCACAGCAGGAACCTGGACCAGGACCTCCAAAACCTCAGCAATTGGGAAGCCCTCAATTACAAAGCTTCAGATGTGGTCTGAGCTGAGACATTTTTTGTGTATTGCCCAACTATGCAGGGGGCTGCAGGAGTTGGGAAGGTAGTCAAGTGAGTGAGAAGGCCTTTCAGAGCCAAATACAGACGTGGGTCGGGGCAGGTGTCCTTAACTTCTGGCTAGGGGTGTCTGTAAGCAGGGATTCTGGAGGCCCTGGGCCTCTCCTGCCTTGCTGGGAACCAGAGATACCATGGCTCCTGTGGCAGTGGAGAAAGTGTACCTCAGGCTGCTCAGTGATATAACTGGAGCTGTGTAAAGCAGAAGTCTCGGGGCTTTCAGACTTTGGTCCTTGCTCTCAGGTCCCTACTCACTTGTCTCTGTCTATACTAGCTGCTGTTTACCCAGGAACCTTTGGAGACTGATGGTGACAGACATTTCTGTTCTGGGTGGGATAGACCTGCAGACAGAGTGTGTGCACTTTTAAGATAAAAGGCAGTGTCATTCTAAAGGATTTCTTGACTCCTAATCCTTGGAAACTTCCTGGTCTCTCTCCCTTGCTCATCGTTCCCAGCCACAGCCTTGGCCATGTGCCCTTCCCTGGGTGTGCAGCGTGGGTGGGAGATGGGCTGCTAGTGATGCTCATATGTCAGACTTTGTAGGAATGTGCCTGTGTGGTTCTGCTGTGTGGCTTGGGGTGTAGGGCAAAGCTGGCACTTGCCATCCGGTCCCAACCTCTTCCCTGTCACATGACCAGTGCAAATGAGCATCCTGCAGATTTTCCTCAGTGAATTCTCTGCCTCCCTTCGGGGGGGGGGGGGAGGGGTTTTAAAAAAAAAAAAAAAAAAAGCTCATTCCATATTGGTGCCCAGAGAATTGAGCACTGCCTGGAGTGGAGACCTCTTAGTCTGTCCAGATGAGTACCATCACCTCTTGTGCAGTAAAATACACTGTTTGTGGAGTTAAGATCTTGCAGGGATTTGTCTCTTTTCCCCTGCCTCTATAGGGGTACAAGCTGTTGAACTTGCGAGAATGACTCAGTGTGGAATCTAATTAGAAGTTGTTTGGCCCTTGTTGGGACATGGAGGGTTGAAGGAGGACAGGTGATGTGGCTTCTCAGTAGCAGTGAACTGGAGGTCTTGCTGTAAGCAGCACTCCTGTAGTGAATCCACTGTCTAAGTCCTAGGTTCAATGGGAAAGAAGTTCTGTAGTGAATTCTAATCTGCTTGAATGCCATTTTTGCCCTGTCTTCTGCACAGATCACACTGATCTTTAAGAGCTACCAGGGATGTACAGAGCAGAAGGTCTACCAGGCTACCGCAGAGGACCTGCCCTTGGCATTCAGTGATGGCACACGAAATGGTGGGCAGCAGGAAGGAGCTGGCAGTCTGCGCATCCTGGAGAAGTCAGACTCCAACCAAGTGGAGATCCAGGCCCATTACATTGGCAGCACTATAATCATCCGCCAGGTGGGTCGTTACCTCACCTTTGCCATTCGTGTGCCGGAGGAGACTTTGAATCTCTCGGAGGAGAGCCCTGACCTTCAGCTCTGCCTGCATGGCTGCCCCAAGAATGAGCTGATTCAGGAGCACAGGCTGCAGCTGAGCAACTCCAGCCCTCTCTGGCCTAGCTCCCAGCGGGTGTACACAGTGGAAACAGCCACTGAGCAATGTCATCGCATCCTGCAGGTGGAGGATGTGTATTTCCAGTCCTGTGTCTTTGATCTGCTTACCACAGGGGATCCTGAATTTTCCATGGCTGCACATGGGGCCTTGGAAGACTTGAAGGCCTTGTATTCCAGCAGACTTATGTTACATGCCTCATCCAAGACCATCAGTGTGCCTGGCGGAGCTCTGGCAATTTGGCAGCCTGCTGTTTTTGCAGTCTGGTGGCTTCTTGCTTTCCTAACGCTACTCTGGTGTAGTTAGGGGTTGGGTGGGTGGAAGAGTCTCCATCCCGCGAGGGACCCTTGACCAAGGGCAGAGAAGCTCCTGATTGCTGTCTTCTGGACAAGTTCTCCTCTTACAGAAATGGCCTGTATGATCCAGCTCTTGCCACTTGTCTTCCATCTTTTCTCTTACTGAAAGTGACATGCCAGTTTGATCCTCTACCACCCTAGTCAATGCTGGATTTGGAAGAGACATACCTTGCCTTCTGTATGCCAAGTCTGTGGTTGGAGAAGGGGAAAGGAGCCCCTGGTTATAGTGGCCAGGCTGCAGATGAAAAGGGATTGTCCCCAGAGGAAAGAGGCTTGCTGCCCTGCAGCATGAGGTTTAGCTGTCCTGCTAGGAGTGCTCCACTTCTACTTTCCACCCCTGTCCATCAGCCTCCTCTAGCCCCTGCTTGTTTCACATGTACCTTCCAGTGCTAAATTGCTCTTCCAGGAGCAGTCACATGGATCTGTCTAGAGGTTAGAACAAGGGCCAGCTCCTACTTTGTTGGCACCTCCTGCTAGCTGTGGTTACTGTGGCCACAAACAGTAGAGGATCTGGGGAGATGAGAGGGAATGAAGCTGCATGTTCTGAGGGAGCACTTGGAGTAGTGTTGGTTTGGTCCCAAGGAGAGCTTTGTCTATGGGATGATGTGCCTCTGAGATGGAACCACAAGTGGGTTAGAAGGAAACTGCCAGGTGTTTAAACCTAGCTCTTCACCTTTTCTGATGTCTCTGGAAATTCTGCTGATTTGAGCACAGCTTCGAGCTGAGAGAGAAAAGGGCAGCTGGGGCTCAGGTGTTCTTCACTCCTCCTTTGCAAACTGCAATTCCCACTTAGGCCTACTGAGCAAACAGGAGGAGCTGGGCTAGAGCCTCTGTGTTAGACTGGGAGCTGCAGAGACCCTGGCTAGAAGGTTACAATATATCCATTACAAAAATGTGTATATTTCTGTTCTTGATCTGTAAATGTCTGTACATTCCCTGGACATCATGCTCTTCTACTTCATTATTTTGTGGACTCTGTGAGCCTCCCCACCTTCTGTTAATAGCATTTTAATCTCTATTTTAATTAAACCATGTTTTTTATGTGTTGGTGTCACATGCTGATGCTTCTTCTGTGCAGGAAGGTTGGTGAATTGGCTTCTCTGAGCACGGGCCTGTTGTTCCTTGCTATAAATACCAAGATTGATTGTTGATTCCTGCAATGAACAGGAGAAAGGATATGGGGGGAACTCTTCTCTAACATAGTGTTGTTATGGGTATGGATTGTGGTTCATTAGTTGTACGGGCTAAGAAAAAGCAGTCTCTGCTTGAATCCTCCTGATTTGGGGCTAGGAAAGGTTCCTCTATGGGCTCTTGTCTGGGAAGATGGTTGGATTTTTTTTTTTTTTTTGATGTGTCGTTCCCATGTCCTGTTCCCCCTGCGCTCCCAACTCCCCTGCAAATGAATCTTGAAATAATTTCAAGACTCAGAGCTGAACATTTGGTAGAAACTGGTCAACGGGTTTGGAAGCTTTTGGGACCGGCAGGTATTAAACCAGGCTTGTGCAGGGGGGAAATAGGACTAAAATGGAGTGTGCAGAGACTTGCCAATCTCAATGTTTCTTCAGTCTTAGCTGATCCTTTCCAAAGAGAGAGGAAACAGGTTGGGAGCTGGTAATGTGCCTGCATCCCCTCTCAAGGAGAGGTGATGTTCCAGTTTGTGTAAGGCTGTTTTCTGGGGAAGGGACACTATGCACCCTTGTTCCCTGCTCTGTTGACTGCTAGGTGCTAGATTCAGTGCACTCCTGTTCTGAACTAAACATAAGAACTTTGTGCCTGCAAGGGATGTCAGTGCAGCCTGGTTACTTCTATGGTCTGAAGTAGGAATGGTGCATGGTGCTTTGAGTTGCAAGTATGTTCCATTCACAGCACAGGAACAGGTACCAGCTGGTGTTTTGCTTCTTCTGTCCACATCATGGACCATGGATTTTGACTTGACAAAGCTTTCTGTGGGCTTGCATGGAAATGGTAGGAACTTGCTGCAGTTCACCTCCACTCCGGAGTTTGAACCCACTCCTCCTAAACGCATGCATACACCTGCTTGCTCTTCATGTTTGCAGTGAACACCATGGTCCTTGCACCACAGAACTGTGTTGGTGCAGGGAGAAGGGGGGCCTCAAAAGTTGAGGTAATCCTAAATTTAATTCACCTCATGTTCTGCTTTTCTCTAGCCCTGTTAAGTAGGGTTTTCAAACCACCTTCTCAGAAAAGTCCCAGGAAAATTCATGCTTTTGTAGAAGGGGAAACTGAATCGTGGCCATGGCAAACGGTGTTGGTTCCCTACTAACCCCAGTGTGCTCCTCACTTGCAGTGCAGAGAAGGGGAGTTTGGGCAGTTGCTCTCTGGTTTGCTGGGCTGAGCTCTGTCTGTCTTTTCTTTTCTCCCCCTGCCCCCCTCCCCTCATGATGCTGTTGAGAGAACCTGTTCTGTCCTCTTAATATAGACAGAGTACGCAGGAGTTCTTTAAGAAGCCTGGGATCTACACACAAGAGTTGTGCCTGGTTTGTGTTTTGCTCTGCTAGAGTTGGGTTGCTGAACTTAACCTGTTGCAACTGGGCTAATATAACAAACTTGAGTTTTTGGGGTCAGATCCTATGACTGGAATAAAAATCCAAAGACAGCCTTTTTAGAGACCCTGGGACACTGTGGGGTATACAGAGTAAGGCAGGGTTGTATTTTACAGGAGTCAGGCACTGTCATCCATCCTTCTGCGAAAAGCTTAACTAATGCACAGATGACTTGCTGAGTGGAAAAAGGCTTTCCTCACCTCAGGTCTTTGATAGTGCTTACACTTGAAGACAATCTAAAAGCAGCTGCAACTAACACATGGAGTAAAATCCCAAGTTACTTAGCAAGTAAAACTTTTATTAAATAAATTTAAGATTTTTTTAGACCAGAGCGAGGAATTTGACATTGACGAAGCTTGTATCTCACCTGTAACATTGTACAGTCACATCAGTAACTGTGATGGAAGAAACTGATTGTAAATGCTTATTTTAAACCAGCTTAACCTAGAATTTCCAAAGTCCTTTTTTTCCCATTTTGCATTTGTTGGTCATTTTCTTTTTTGTTCAAAATTAGATTAAGTTTAAACTTCATGAAATTACTTGTAGCAGAAATAAAGTACATTATACAAATCACGTACATAATAGATGTTAAGTATAAAAATGGTATTTACAATCAGTAAACATGGACTATAGAAACACACAGACTTCCACTGCTTCATCCATCTCATAAACTCTCAGCATCAGAGACAGAGGGGTGGTTGAGGAGATGTGAATGTACTTAAGGGACTGGGTCACAGACATCTGCACAAAGGGAAACTGGAGGAGGATGAGAAGTGGCTGATGTCCTCTGAAGTCCTCAGATTTCTCCTTAGTATCAGTTGCATCAACCTTTCTCCGCCAACCCTCTGTTCATGTTTGATCCCATACACACACGCGCACACACACACAGAGGAATGTTCTTGGTACCTTATCAAACTCTGAAAGATCGAAACTAATTATTCAGAAGATTTTTCTTTTTTCCATATTTTGGTAGAAACTTAGAGACTGTTTCAAGTTGTTAAATGGATGCGCCTTGTCAGAAAGACCCCCCACTCTGGGGATCTTAAATCAAGCTCTGAACTATGTTCTGTGCTTAAGTGTATGTATATATATCTATAGCTATATATGCTGCATACTGTATAATCTGCCCTTTGGATGGGGAGGTGGAAGAAAAAAACAGAACGAAAACCCTCTTTCATCATACTATCCTCCTTGTGTCTGCTTGGAAAAGCTTTACGGAGGGTATAAGAAGCGAGTCCCCCTTGTTAAATTCTGCAGGAGAAAATGTCCTATTTGGTTTGGAGATTGGAAATGCTTGCTAACCAGCTTTAGGTTATTTCCGACATGTGGAGGCAGTGTGTAGCCCCTGGGAGGCTTCTGTCACTGTTTTGGAGATGGCGTTTGCTCACACTCTCTCATCTTCTCTTGCCTTGATCAAGACATTTCCCTGTTACCATGGAGAGCTATGAAACACGGGTCTGTGCCATGCATGCGGAGGCAGTACAGTTCCTGTAGGTAAAGGGACTTTCTGTGCTTTCAGCCTAATCCGGGAGTGTTCAGGATAGGCTTTGGCACCAAATTCCAGGAGCTTGGTCTGCAGAAGCCCTTGGAAGATTAAGACTGAGAGCTGCTGAGATCCTTAACCAAGCTGGTGCTAAGGTTGGTGGGTGAGTGACTCTTGAGCTGAGTAGCTGGCTGTGCCCTAATCCTGGAGGTATGTAGTTCTCTTTCTCCTTGCTTCTTGCTAACATTGAGCAGAGAGGTGTGCTCTCCCTTGCTCTTTGTCCATCCTCTCAAAATGTTCAGGCCTATTTGCAGTGCCTGTTGAGGAGACACTGTTGCAGAGGTAAACCCTTTGCTTCCAACCCCTCTTGCACGGAGTCAGTCTCTGAATGGAAAAGTTTGGTCCTGTGAGTCACTTTAAAAAAAAATAGAGACTGTATATATATATTTATATTTATCTATGAAAGGGACAGAAGATGGGGTGGGGGTGGCTAAGGTCCTGTACATCACTGCGGTAACCTAGAGACACACTAGTAGATTTTCTTGGTCTGTGTACTCCAGGCATACCCCGAGAGGAAGAGCTTCAGGTCCCCAGGGTCTGCTGGTTTTCTGGTCCCTTTGCTATGCACCACATTAGCAGCAAATACGTGAGTCCATCCTGGCAAGAATCTTCCTGCTGGGCAGATATTGAGCCTTCTCGTCAATTTCATGTTTTTGAGGAGGAGGGCTGAAGGCAGATGGGGTGGGTAGGTGAGGAGCAGAGAGGGAGGGAAGGAAAGGGGTGATGTCAAAAGAGTTCATAAATTTACTGGCCGCTGTAAATCAACCTGAAGCAGAAATTCTTCCTCTGGACTTTCCCCTCACCTGAACAGAAAGGGGAGGGGGTGGAATTGGGAGATTAGGAGGATGTATGTGCAAACCTCAGGCTTTGAGCTGCTGCTTCTTAAATGTGGAGGAATATGGCCCCATTGAGGAGGGGCCAAGTCTGGCCCCTGTTCCAAGTCTGGTGACTGGCAGGAGGTAACCCTTTAACAGCCAGCTCCTATGTCAGGCAGCTCTTTTGTGGCCCTCCAGGGCTCACCCTAGGCTCATAAGCTTCTCTTGATGGTGTGGCCACCAGAGGCGGCCATCTAAGGCTCAGCAGATGTTGTAGCAAGCATTATGAGCGCAACTGTGTAGGCATGGTGACAGGTTCTGCAGACCCGAATACAGATTTTGCTGAGCTCTTTGCTCCAAACCCTTCCATGGGCCTACTGTGACAAAACCCTCCAGCACAGGGAAGTTGAGCAAAGAGAAGCCAGCTATCATGAAGGACGCTGAACCATTTCCAGACATGACCCTTCCTTGCCCTACTTCCAATTGATTGGCCCCATCTGAAGTGGGATCACTTGGTCTCTGTGTTGAATTGCTGTCCCGGAACTAACTAACCTGAATAAAGCAGGAGGACACCTAATGTGCCTGCAGCAAGGGCTTATTTTCTTCAATCTGCTTTTCTATGATCCTTGTGAATCATGTGATTGCCCTGTCTTACCCTAGAAGAGTTCTCCAGACTAATTTCAGGGCACGTGCCCAGCTAAAAACAAAACCACTGGGTTTGATGAACAAATGTGGGGAGGGGTAGGAAAGCAATGTCTAAGCTTCCTTAGACTACAGGCAGGTAATCTGAGTCCTTCTGGCTGTTGGGGCCTTCGATCCCTGCCTGAGCTATGTTGTACTGATCTCCAGCTCAGCCACATCCATGCCGTGCCTGGCTACGGACATTATTGATCTGGACTGTGACCCAGTGAATTGACTTGCTGGCTTGACCTTGGTCCTGTCCCATCACTATGGACTTGCCTGGCAATCACTGGGCTGTGTTTGGCCCTGGTTACCCTCACCAGACCTGATCCTGATCTGCAGATTGACTTTCTGGCTTGACCTTGGACCTTCCTCATTTCCAAACTTGCCTGATGATCTAGACTCTTGGTTGAATCTGTCTACCTTCTCCTGGCCTGCCCTGGTCACCTTCCTCAGTTACTGTGAGGCTGGGCTCTTGCTGGTAAGGCCCCTGCCCTGTGGGCTGTGTTACTGTGTTCAGTTCCCCATCCCTTCAGGGAGCAGCCAGCCTTGCAGCTCCCCAGCCCTGGTCAGCACGTAGAAACAGTGCCGTGAGGGTGCTGGCTTTACCTGTGCTGCAGAAGTGATTCCTGCTTGCTTGCTGCTGTCAGTAGGGATGGTTGGCATCCTTGGGTCGTTTTAACTGGACCTTCAAACGTTTCATGCCAATCTGGAAGCCGTTCATGGCCTGGATAGCAGTCTGTGCGCTGGATGGGTTGTCAAAGCTTACAAAACCTGAAGGACAGGACACAGGCATGGCCAATAACTCTTGGCTCTATGCCATATGCATGAGTGTCCTAGTTATCTGCCATGCTCTCCTGCCTGGGGGCATCAGCACTCACCAAAACACTTGCTCTGGTTGGTGGCACGATCCATGAACACCTTGGAGGAGATGATATTGCCAAAGGGCAGGAACATCTGCATCAATTCATTGTCTCCGAACTCCTGAGGGAGATGGTAGATGAAGAGATTGCAGCCTTCAGGACCTGCAGGCATGGGGGCAATGGGGAGGGACCAAGCACAAACAGCCCCCAAAGGAAAGGGGAAGAGAAATAGGCTCAGCTCAGAGCACAGTGTTGGAGGAAAACCTCAGCACTGCCTCTGGCTGTCTCAGTCTCCCCTTGCTGGCTTCTTTCCATCACTGGTCCAAAGAAAAGGGCTCTAGTGGCTGTCCAACAGCATCTGGGAGGCAATATGCAGAACTAGAGGTTATAGAGAGCAGATTTGGCTATCACAGCTTTCCTGGTTCCCACCTGGGGTGCTGGGCATGACAAGTCTCTGACAGTGTCTGGGTGCTGTTTTGTGGAAAGAAATCAGCTGAGGCAAGAGCTCCTTCTTCATACTCTCCCACCCCTGCTCAGCACTGCCCAGAGCAGCAGGCACCTCTGCATGGAAACTGCAACTGTATTTGCATTTGACCCATGAGCCACAGCCCCAGCTGGAAATCTCAGTTACCATACATCCTACTTACGGGCTGACCTGGTCCCTGTGAGTCAGATAAGCACAGGGAGCTGTCCTTTTCCTGGCACCTGCTGTGTGAAGCAGGAGCAGACAGATTCCTTTAGGTCCAAATTCTATCCAGATGAGTTTTGAAATAAGCTGAAAAACAAACCCTGAGGCTGCGAAGGCTGAGGAGAGAGGAGGGTGCCTTGGAGAGCCTACTTTGACTGTTACTAGCGTGACTCTAGCATCAGCAAAGAGGGGAAGAAGGTCCCCTTCTCCCCAGCCTCCATAGGGAAGGCCTTGACTCTACACCCTTTGGTGTCAAGAGCGTGGTGTTATACTGACTGCTGCCAGCTTTGCTCTAGGTGACATCTGACCAGTGATGAGCTCTGGAGGTTTGCATGACCAGCATCTTCTGGCTCCTTACAGTCCACTCACTGCAAAGCCAAGGTTGGTTCTATAACCTAGCTCCAATGCAAAGGATTAGTGCTGACTCCTCTCCATTGGCTCTATAGTGCAGAAGATGAGCTCCATGGGCCACCCCTCCCTCTCCTCCCTACCCCTCCATTCCCACCCTGATCTTCACCTTCTCGTTGCTGCTGCTGCAGGATGGGAGGTGGCTGAGGAATGCTCTGAGCAATTGGAGTGATGGTGGTGGTTGGATACACAGCTGTGTTCCAAGGAGACAGAACAAATTGTTTACCTGAGAAACTGGTCAGTCACACCAGGAACTGAGGGAGAGAAGGGAAGCTGTTACCTGCGTACTGCTGAACTCCTGAAAAGGCTGGGTGCAAAGTTTCTGCTACTGAAGGGCTCTGGGCTGCAAAGAAGAAGAATGGAATCAGAAGCACAGCAAAGGGAACTGTACACACATGCGCCAGTGAGTCTCCATGCCTGGCTGGTAGAGGGCTAGGAAAAGTCTTCTGGGTGGGGATGCAGAAAAAAGGAGCTAATTGCAGTTCCTGAAGTCTCTAGGTGTTTTCTTCCAGCTGTCCATACCTGAGTATGGCACAAGGCCATTGGTGTAAACTGTGTCCAAGGTCGGATGGCCATTTGGGAATGGCACCACTCCAGTGAATCCATTTGAAATGGGTGCTACCAGTCCTGGCATGGCTGCTGTTCCCAGGAGAGGAGGTGAATGTAGCCCTGCAGAGCAAGAAGAAAAGGGGTCCTGCATGATTCAAGGTCCCATAAAGCTCCTGCTCCCTCCATCCGTCTGTCTGGTAAGAACCTGATGGGATATGGGGAGCTGTTTTCTCTGTACAAATACTGTGCTGAGTCTTGGGGCAAGGGGTTCATTGGTCATGAAAGACTCGCTGTGTCCTGGCCCACACCAGGCCCTCACCTGATGTTGGAGCAATCGGAGTGGCTGGCAGCCCATTGAGACTGACGGCACCGATCTGTTGGATGTGGCAAGGGGAAAAGGCGACGCCGGGGCTCAGGTAGCTGCCATGGGAGGTGGAGAGAACCGTTGTCTGCTGCTGCATCAGCTGCAAGGCAGGGTCACACGCTGTCAGGGCCACGTGTGGTCAGGACCACACGTGGCCCAGGACCAGAGATAGTTAAGGCCCCACCCCTTGTGGCCTGGGATAAGGTCAAAGCTGCAGCCTTGCTGCCTGACCCAGTCACCACCAGGGGTGGCTGGGCTCTCCTGGTGGCCCCAGAGTGTCCTAGAGCCTGTAACCAGGCTGGCTACTGTGGCGGGCCTGGACCTCCCCGCGGCCACATCCTCCTCTGGGGCCACCTGCCGTAGTGGGCCAGCCAGCTGGGGCCGGGGCTGGCTTGGCAGGCCTGGAGAGTGGGGCACAGATGCTGCCGATGGCAGAGCAGCTTACTTTGGGTCCTCTTGCAAAAGCCAGAGCTGCAGCTGGGCACCCTCCACCCACCCCAGACCCTCATCCAAGAATCTAGCAGCCTTAGGGGTTTCCTGCTGCCTCCTGGCTACAGGCCAGGCTGACCATGAGAGCATGGAGCTGGAGAGCTGGAGGCCCTTCCTGCTTGGAAGGCTCCTGCAGTGGAGATGGGGCAGGGAAAGGGCAACCCAACAGCAGCCTCTTGCTACAGGCCGCAGCTTTGTCAGCCTGCCAAAAGGGATGCCAAAGATGTTTCCTTCCAGCTGCAGCCCTGTCACGAAGCCCTGCCCCATGTCCTGGTTGCCCTCTAGCATGGCATTGAACAACCCAAGTGAGCAGCTCTCCCCTGGGGAATGCTGCTCAAACCCTCTCCTTTTGCCCAGCCTTCACAAGGGGACCAGGCTGCTGTGAGACTCCCTGGGCTCGCCCAGGGCCCTGCACTCGCTGCATACCCGCAGTCTGTCCAGGCTCAGCTCACGTTTCGGACGCTGCCCCTCAAGGCCAGCCCTGGGGATTCCCTGAGCCCTGACTTGCCCAAGGCAGTGGGCTGCGCCCTGGCTGGAGGATGGCAGCTCCTTTTGGTCCCCCAACTCACCCGCCTAGGCAGAGAGGCACGTCAGAAAGGGGGCAAAGCTGGGAGGAGGCTTAGAAGGAAGAAGAAAAAAACCCTCCTTCTTGACCCCTATGGCCAGCCTTGTCCTCGCTATCAAGCAAGGAAAGCAGGAGCGGCATCAGCACAGCTGTCTGGAAACCACAACTCCATGGGAGGAGACGAGGTGGGGGAGCAGCAAAACCAAGCAAAACACAGGTCCTCTTTACAGTCACTGCACCCGTGCCTCACGGTCTCTGTTGCACCATAACTGCACTGTGCCATGTACCCTGCTGTGTCTTCAACGGGATGTCAGTTAGCCATTTTGGCCCAGGTCTCAGCTGGAGGGGCTGGCAACTCCGAAATGTTCACATCTCGCTGAAGCCCTTCACCCTGAAGTTAGTCGTTGCTGTTATCTAAAAAGAAGAGGTATTGCCTAACTCCATGGCTGTCTCTGTTAGCTGGTGCAAGCAGAGCAGCTGGGGCAGCGCTGGCTCCGTGTGGCAGTGCTGGGACTGGTGAGAGGCCTGGGGGCTGCAGGGTGGCCTGGGGGCTGCAGGGCAGCCTGGGCATGCCACACTGCAGGCGTCCCGTTGCCGCTGGAGCCCAGCATGCAAGTGCCCCAACTTCATCTCATCTGTTCACCTCTGGTTTGTCTATGGAGCCGTTCCTCGCTGGAGCGGGGCTGGCTCACCCTGAGCTAGCGTTACAGCAAAATGTGGCCTTCCAGAAAGCATAGAAGTCCTGCTCAGACGGTGCCCCTGTTACAAGCCATCTGCACGTTCTTCTAGTCTTATCTTCATGGTTTCCCCATTTTAAGATGCATGGACCAATGCATTTCTTATTTACTGGATGAATATTCCTTTTTTTTTTTTCCTCCTTAATACGTGCTTGGAGAAAGACTGTCATTTGATTGCAAATGCGTGAAACTAGCATTTTGAAATTATTTTTGTTTGTTAAATAAATGTCCATTAATGAACCATAAGAACAGAAAAAAAGAGGAAGGAGGTGAACAAAATATGCTTTGTGTTTAGAACTAAGTTATGAAATGCAAGACGTATTCAAGCGTTATACGTAGCTAGTAAACTGCACTGGCTGTTTCTCCAAGATTCTAGGCCTTTTTTGTATTGACAGATTTATTTTTTTCAGCTCCCAATCAGTTTCATGATTTCATCTGAACCAATCACTGAATTCAACTTGTTGAATAAACTAAAATGAAGGAAATATTCTCTTTTCACTTGCACAAGAGGTACCTGGGATCAAAATTTTGTTTAGTACTTAAATATAACTGGTTCCAGAGGCTTAGCCAGTCATATTTCCAAGCTAAGGCTGAGAATTTTTCTTTCAAATTGTATCAGATAAGAAGCACTGTTTGAATATTTTTAAATTAATGCATTTTATCTGAATCACTCAGGATAACTTTAGACCTAATATAGCTTTCCCTTACTTCACGTTTACTTTTGTTTGTTTGTTTGTTTGTTTGTTTGTTTTAAGGAAGATGCATTTAGTATAAATAAAAATCATCCAACTGAAACAAAAATCAGGGCCCAGACTTTTTCTTCTTTTCTGTCCCAGGCAGGGGACTGTCATCATCCTTGTGACATCTCTGGGACTGCATTGACTTGAGAGGCAACAAATCCCGTGGGGACAGGGAGAGAAAAATGGTGGCCCATTAAAACGTAAACATAAGAACCAGTGCCTGTGTGGCACCAGTTCACCCTAACAGCCTCTCTCCTCTCAGTCTAATTCAACCATTTAACTGTTAGATGCATCTGCTGGGCCTATGAGCAACCTTGGGGGCAGCATCTCCTACTCCAAGCCCTGCACTGGGGAAACATGAGCTATGTCAGAGATGCCCTGAGCCCAGGCTCCTCAGGAATCCCAGCTCCTAAGAGTGCCCATGACAGGACATTTGGAGGAGCTGTAAGGCGAGTCGGCAGTGAAATGCCTCCCTTCTGCCCCACTTCCATGGATCCTAGGTGGCCTTTCAAAGGGCTGATATTGAGTCCCTCTGATGGGGACACTGCATGCATACGAAAACTTGCCAGGATCCCTCCTCCAGAGGATGGGAAACTGAAGACTGGGATGAGACAGGAGAAGAAACAATACAGGTGTGAGGTTGGTGGCTCAGAAGGAAGAAGGAGAGAGAACCAAAATCAGTGGAAAGTAAACGGGAAAGGAGAAAGAAACTGAAAGGACAGGAGACAGGCTGAGCTCTGAGTCAAGGGGAAAGCCAAACTAAAGTTCTGGAGCAGGAAGAGGAAAAGGCCAGGCTAGAATCAGAGGAGGCAACAAATCTGCAGACACAACTACGGAGAAGGAAGATGCAGATAAGCAAGCAGCACAGCCAAGGCCTGACTCTGGTTTCTTGTCCTCAGTAAGAGTCTCTGAAGATTGGAGGGATGAGGCAGGCATTTAAAGATTGAGCGCAGAAGGTCTCGCTGCTCTCCTTCCTGAGACCCCCCCTCCCCCCAGGCCATGAGCTAATAAAGCACTTTCTGCCATCATAACCTCACTGCATAGCCCTTTCCTACCTCCTTCCTCATCACACCATGCACAAGTCAGCACCATCTCCACGGCAGCAGAAGATCAGAATGATCATGTCTCAGCTGAGCCAACGAGCCGACAACCTCGTCGTGCAGCTCAGGTGCAGCTGGCTCATGCATGGCAGGGCTGGACAGAAGTCCTCCGGCACAGGCCCTCATATTCACTGCCTCTTTTCCCTTGTTAGTCTATGCTCTTGGTACACACTTAAATGGCACTTGGTGATGGGTGTTTCCAGGGGTTCTTTAGGAAGAAATGGCCAATAGTCAAGGGATGGTTCCTTTTCTGTTTTGGAGATTGAACAGAGACACACCAAGTTGCCACTGGAGCCAGAGGTAAAAGCGGTGCCCACAGATATGTGGGAAAAATAGGTTTGTTTTGTCCCCCAAGAAAGGAAGCTGCAGTTCCTTCTTTTGACACAAAGATCCCTTAGGGCCTTGAGCAATTGCCATTTTCCATGGGCTTAATACTTGGCAGCAGAGAGACCTGAGGGTGGCAGTCACTGAGAAGACCCGGAAGATGGTGTTTTTTCCACCACAGCTGAGCAGGGCTTTCTTGAGTTTGGGATCTGCCTCAAACATCAATGGGAATCACTGTTATCACCCCAGGGCAATGAAGTTCCCTTACTAAGACTGAAGGCACAGCCAGCCTTGCCAGACAAGGAGCCAGATAGCTAAAACATCTTCAACCCTCTGCCACCCACAGCTCCCTCGCCAGCATCTTGCAAACCACATAGTCGCACTAGCCAAAAGGAAAAAACCTCTGGAGCCAAGGACAGCACTGGGGACTAGGCCCCTCCTGAGAACTGCAGCAGAGAAAGAAACATGTGAAGTTGGGCTCAGGATTCTCATGGTGGTCCAGAAGCAGAGAGACACGATTGTGCCATGGACCCAGAAGAGCTCACGAATTGGCAGATTGCCATGTCTAGCAGACATCACTGAGGAATCATGGCTCTATGCTGTCCACAAAACAAGGCAGAAAGACACTGGGTCATGCTTGACCTGTTCCCAGACACCTCCGCCAGTCTACATCACATCAGAGAAATCCAGCCTCATGTTGAGAAGGGCTCAGATCTCTCCTGCCAACCCTTGCAGGAGAGAAATGCGCAGGGACTGGGCTGCCGATTGAGAAACTGAAGCCAGGAAGGACTCCCAGGTGCTGGGAAGCTTTCACACATTTGCTACTGAGACCCTGTCTGTGGTCTTCCAGCCCAGGTATGGTGTTGGCCCATAGCCAAGAAGGCAACGTTTCCCCACACACACGCGTGATACTCACAGCCTGCGCATAGGCGCTGTATGGGCTGAACGGCAAGGTGAGAGATGGAGTGAATATCCCCAGCTGCCCCACCATTTGCTGCATACGACGGAGGGTCCTCTCTTTATCTGTGTCAGCAAACTTCACCACTAGACTGGAGGAGGCGCCCTAGGCACAGAGAGAGGAGACAGAGAGAAGAGGCAGGGGGAGAGGAGGCCGTGGGACAGCCGGAGAGGCAGCAGTCAGGCAGGGCGGGATGGGGCAGAACAGGCAGCAGAGAGGAGCGGGAAGAGGAGCAGAAGACTGCTGGAGTGAAAGTGCTCAGGAGCTGCCTGGAACCTGGGCTGTTCCCTTCCCTGTCCATCCATCCATCTGTTCATCCATCCCTTCCCCTTCCCACCCTGCCCCTCACACACTGGGGCAGGCACAGCTGCACAAGCAGGTGTGCACATGCCTGGCTGCATTTGCCAAGTGTCTGGATGGCAGCAGCCAGGAACACCCAGGCAATGGTCAGGCACAAGCACCATTTTTCCACCATCATGAGCTTGGCTGGACAGGCAGAGCAGGTCCTGGCAGCTGCAAATACCCTTGCTGCAGCAACTCACTGTCCTGCCCACAAGCTGCTGCAATGCAGGTTAGAGACTGAGAGTGACCGGATCACAACTGCAGCTCCACTTGCACAAGAGGCCACAGCTGTGGTTGCACAGCCCCACACAAGGCACAAGGTATTCTCACCTACACCCAGCCTGCCCCAGAGCCTGCCGGTACCTCCTGGATAACAGAAGGCCGGAGAGCGTGTGCAGGCACTGGAGCCCTGACTGTTCACATTGCTGAATTGTTAGCTTGCACCTTGCTCTATTTTGAACTCTTCCAGATAGCTGTCTCCAGGATGGATACATGGCCTGGTCCTTGGCTTTCTTTAATTTAGTCTTTATAAACATAAGGGCCGTCACTACCACTCTGGACAGACATAGACACACACACACACCAG